TGCCAATGCTGGGCAGTAAAAAAACCCAAATACTCCAAGATATAGTGCTGTCTGAGTTGAAAGAAGGTTTTCCACCCTTCTTTCCACCCTTTCTGTTTCACAAACCTCCCCCAAAAATAAACCCTGGACCAGCAATAAAACCCTATTTTGAGATTGGCGATCAGGCAGCTTCATCCACTTTTTGGAAAAGCAACAGAATAGCCCAGGGAAGCAGAGAAGGATATATGGTACAGACATTGTGTCTTCTAGTCTCTCAACAGAGCATCCCCCAACATCTGTTGCTCTGCTCACTGGTACTTATTTCTAACATCTGTTTTTCTATGCACAGTAAGTGGTCAATGGTTGCTGTTGGGGGCTTAAAGAGACATTCAGCCGTGTGTGCCTTCACGTGCAATCTGAAGTGAAAAAAACCATCTGTAAATTTGCCATGCGAGAGAAAATAGGCCTGGGAGTGAAAAATAGATGACACTTTCCACCTTCTAAATGTTCCAGCCTTTCCACTACAGGAAGATGATCCTATTGCTGAACAGGAAGAAAGGAAAGGAAGAAGGAAGGGCATTCATGGATGAGAGCCCTCCCCTTTCCCACATCCTTTTGAAACATTCATTCATTTTAAATGCTTTTATGCTGCTTCAGTCATTTCAACTTTAAGCAGCTCATAAGAACTACTGCAGAACTATTTGCCAGAATAGAATAGGATCATTTTTATACTGAGAATTAAAGACGAGTGTGAAGCATATGATTTTTCAGGTAGGACTGTGGTTTGTAAAAGGATCCTTAGAAGTGGATAGTCTCCTTCATGTCTGCTGAAGCAAAGGTGTATCCAACCAGAATAAATTTCACCAGAAAATAAGAAGAAATAAAAGCCCAGTAACTCCCTGGTGCAGGCCGCATTCTCACCTTCGGCTGCATGGTCCGGGGGTCTTGTATTGAATGCCAGTCTTTCCCATCCATGCTGTAGGCCACTTTAAACTTCTTCACAAAAGCTCGGGCCTCCGCCACATTGATGCTGTCCCCACCTCGGGCTCCTTGGATAATCACGCCTTTCACATTCTTAGGGACACCCAGATCTACCTGCAGCCACTCCTCACTAGGCTGGGCTTGAGGAATGCGTGGGAACCATCCTGAGCGGCTGCTGACTAGGCGGGCTACACTAGGAACCCAGTGATATTCTCTGGTAGAAGAAGCTGAGATCTGAGAGTCTGGGATAAGTCCTGAAAGCATCCCCAACATACTGGAACAGGGTGAATCTGTATGAAAAGGAACAGCAGTGAGCACAGAAATGCATATTATGCAAAAGCAGGTGGGGGATGAAAGCTCTGCAATGACATAGGAGGAATACTGTTTCACTGCAACCAACTGCTAGGTACTGAAGTGTCAAAGCACTTAAGCCAGCTATGCTTTGCTTTATAACAGCTATCAGAGGCTCCAGAGGCTTCTTGATGGTTGCTTAGAACATATCCCACCCCAAATCTTCATCCAAACTGCTCTCTGCTTCCAGCTAAACTTTCATCCAGTAATAGCATCCTGGTTGCTGTTCCAGCTCTCTTAAAAAATAAGTATCAATTAAATCCAATCAAATGAGAGATAAACCACAACTGCAGGCCATCATATTAAGCAATTCAGATGATGGCTAGGCTCAATGTTCTCTTTTTACATGTAAATTTACTTGTGGCCTGTGAAGCCACAACTAATTGGGGGGGGGGGGGGGTAGAAGGAAAAGCAGTCATATAAGCATTCCAGTGAGCCTGCAACATTACTTATCTCATGGCCCAGATTTCAAAATGTCAGTTGAGCTAAGAAGTCTTTTGAAATCTCTGCTATGTAAAAAAGAATCAAGATGCAGTGGCTCTACATCCCCAAATCAGGTAAAAATGATAGGGTGAAAGGTCATTAAACCCTCAATTATTTGATGACTGGAACCTCAAGTGATTATATGCATAGGATTATTATTATTATTATTATTATTATTATTATTATTATTATTATTATTCCTCCTCCTCCTC